GCTAAACTGAAAAAAAAAACAACAGCCAAAGCTTAAAATATATTTATTGTTAAATGGAGGTCTTAAATTCCACTAATGGTGGCACAAAAGTAGTCACCCAACAGCGCCATCAAATTTTTGTTTTGCTTACCAAAATAAGAACAACAACAACAAATTAAGTAATAAAAGAAGTCTCCACAAATTAATAAAAAAAACTCCATCTGTAACAATGAGAATGTGTTTACGGTTTAGTGGTTGTGTTGGGAACATTAAAAACGAACAATCTTCAGCCCATGGAAGGAGGAATCTGAATTGGATGTTGATCTTTCGAGTCGTTGATGTGAGTGTGTCTGTGTGTCTGGCAGATTGGTGGGTGGAAGTTATGACTATTATTATTTGAAGATGTATAAACAACACATTGGCGGTCCTCCTCCCCTTTAACATGGTGGCAATTTGTTAAATACATCCGAAAGAAGTCTCGTTGCAATTAACAACTCACAATTATTCATCTTATCTTCGTCTGTGTCCCCCTTCCTTCCTTTTCATGACTATCTTTGAGGCCTGAATTGCTTCTATGAATTGTTAAACAAGTGTTTGCACCTGTAAGCTGAATGTGGCAGACAAAACCTCTGGTGTACAGTGTTCAAAATGGATTGAATGGGTTCTATTCCAAATGGAATTAATTTAAGCAGAAGCATAAAAGAAGGAACTTCTAATTCACCTCAATGGCACTCAGGTTTCTACGTTTACATTTTATCTTATCTTGATTTTTAAAAATTTTCAAAAAATCTCTACCTGTGAAGCACCTTTCTTCAAAGGTGTGTGAATGTTTTTTTTGTTTAAAACAATTTGAATATTTGCCAAAAGAAAATTTTTCAAAAGATATAAATATGTCTACAAAATTTATTTGCTTTAGACTCGTGCTGCACGCCATTCAAAATCATTTGCTTTTTAAAATGTATTCATTAAAACAAACATAAATCGTTTTTTTTTTTTCATTTTTCAAAATAAACATCAACACTTTGAATATCATTCCGATATCTGTTCACAAACATGACTGTGAGGTACTCAGTTAGTTATACGAAAATGTTGTTGCTTCTTTTCAAGATATGAAATAAAAATAGAATAATTGCTTTTTATTGTTGTTAGAACATTTATTTTATTTTTATTTCAAGGAGATCCACACATATAAATATATTTTACCACCTACGCAATTTCGTGAGGGGGTAAGTGACTAAATGTAGCAATTGGTCGAAAATGTATGCAACGTATTGGAAATATTGGTTTCAGAGATCTTCCATTTTCTGAAAGTGATGTTTTCTTATATTTTATTTTATTATTATTTCCTCAGGCATACGGCTAGAAAAACGACGATTTTAAATCCTAGGTCTCTTTGGACCAAATCCGTTTCAGGACATTTGTGGTTGATTTAGTGATGTCCGTCCGTCTAGCTTATAAAATGTGATGTAATAGCTTGATTGTCTTCAAATTTCACACTGCTGTCGTTTCTAAACCACTCGTCCGACAGCTGTTAAAATTATTCTAGTGAGAGTTCACTATATTGTTTACAAGCGTACATAATCATTTTGGTGAGAATTCGAATATTCGTGATGGAATTCAAGAGTGATAATGTGATTTCTTTATATTTGGCTGGAAAAACACAAGTGGCTATCGTTAGAGCATTCCGGCATTTAAATGTGAATAAATCTTTTGTGTCTCGTACCATCGCTCGTTATCGTGATACTGGCAGCGTAGCCTGACGTCAAGGAATTGGACGGAAGAAAACAGCAACATCAACAGAAATGGTTCGGAAAGTATTGAAGCGACTTGATCGAAACCCGCGTCGCAGTGGCCGAAAAATGGCTCGTAAGCTGAACATATCTCAATATTCCATTCAAAAACTGCAATAACTCAAAAGAGCTAAAGAGTAGCTTCGCTTGGCCGAAAGTGGTGAACTGCCGAATTTGGTTTTCTCCGATGAGAAAACATTCGTTGTCCAGCAGTTTGTAAACAAACAAATGATCGTGTTTACTTGCCAAAGAGGTCAGCTGAAAATGTGCACCTTCGGTTGCCCACCAGAACTCAAGCGCCGGCCATGGTGATGGTGTGGGCCGCCATAACATCCGATGGTCGATCTCCGCTCGTAGTAATCAACGGTGGCATCTGAATAAAAGCCGAATATTATCGCGAAAATATTCTGAAGGGTGTATTAAAGCCATGGGCACGCAAACATTTTGGCCGCAGGCCCTGGACATTCCAACAGGACTCAGCACCATCGCACTCAGCACGCGCCACCCAAGAATGGTTACAAAATGATGTTCTTCGCTTCATTTCCAGCGCACAATGGAGATCAAAATCTCCGGATACCAGTCCGTTGGACTATTGTATATGGAGTATTTTGGAAAGTAAGGTTGGCATTAAAAAATACCAAAGTGTCGATCACCTCAAGCAAGCGCTTTGCCGGGAATGGGCTAAAATACCGCAGAGCAATTTAGGTCATAATTCGTGCAAAATGTGACCAATTCGAACAAATCTAAACTTATTTTAAAATTTGATGCTATTTCCGACATTTATTGCTTTCATTCAATAAAATTTAACAAAATAATTAAAAATTATGGCCTTTGACTTTGTTGCAGTTTTTTATCACACCCTGTATAATTGTATAATCAAAGTAATTTTCTTCGAATGTTTTCATAAATATAAAGGTCCTGTCCATCTTTACAATATTCGAGTTAACATTTCGTACATAACACATACAATATTACTGGCAAAAATCCAGGGAATACAACTTTTTTAAGTGGCGAATTCAAGTTCTCCTCACAATATATCCTTTTTACCATAATCCTCAAATGCCCTTCCTTGGCTTGATTTGGAAACAATGTGGGAATTCCTATGTTATTGCTCATCGTGCATTTTTTGTGGATAATTTTACAATATATAGTACAACTTAGTTGCCTCCTTCCTATCCCTTTAGAACTTTTGAAATGAAAACGAAAAATGTTCTCCAATTCACTGTCTCATAACAGAGGATACAAATCTATGTCTGCACGGAAAACACATTCCATTTTTGTCTACGATTTGTTGTCGTTGCTTTTGTTGTACGTGTGACTGTGTGTGTGTGTGGTACAAAAAACCCCAGTAGCAGGCGGGCTAAATATAATGTACTACAGCAATTTCAAATTGTTTTTCTTTTATATTATGTTTTTGTTTGCCTGCTTCTAGTCTGCATGTCCGCTCGCACGGTCGGACTGTCGGTCATGTCTGGCGGTCTGCCTACCAGCCTTCCTAGCTGGCTGGCTGGCTATTTTTTTAATATTAACTGTCATCGCTTACAATGTTTCGTCGTAAAGAAGGTGAATATATTTACGGGCGACAGCCAACTATGATTCATAAAGTCCAACCGAAATGCCAATGATTAAATTAAAATGTCGGAATACGGATGAAATAGTGTGGGGATACATGCATCTATTTCCATCTGACAGAGTGTGACAAAAGTTAATGGATAACAATGAGTGTGTGAGTGCGTCCAACATAAGAGAGATGATCTTGTTTGAGCGCGAATACATCATCTCATTCATTCCGAAAATTTTTGAAATTTATTCGAATTTCTGACGAACATATATTTTAGCGACGAATTTATCGATTCAATTCCCTCATTAAGGATTTATGTCACTGTGGGGTCATGGCCTGGGAGATGTATAATTATAAGTGGAGGTAATAGTATTCGGCTAGTGGATCAAAATCCCTAAGGATTTCGGGTTCCCAATAATACTTTAACCATACTCAAAGGGTCTCAAATATGTTGCTCAATTCCTCGCAAAATTTAAGATAATTATATCCTCAGTCATGTGGCTACAGAGGGTATATATCATTTGATAGGGCCAAAACGTGCCTCATCGAAATAACGGTTCTAGGCTTAGGTCTCTTTGGACAAAAAGCGTTACAGAACACTTGGAGTCGATCTAGCAATGTCCGTCGAAGGCAGAATCCGATTTGTTCCAATCTTGGTACATCGTAATATAATTATGAGATCGAGTTCGGAGATGAACAATATCGGTCTACTACTTCTGAACCTCCCCACTAAAAGTCGATATTTTCAAAATAAACACTTTACTGCACACAAAGAGAAAGGATAATCCGATTTTGTTCGGACTTTGCGAATCCTAATATTTACATGATAGCTATGTCAGGTATGAAAATTCACAGTATCGGTCAACTCCAACAAGTACCTCCTTCCCCCATTTTGAATAAGTTTAACTCTTATAAAATGTGCTGCATGAGTCCGATTGTCTTCAAATTACACACATTCCAATATTTTTATTAGCCCAAGGTCCGGTGTATATCGGTCTATTCCCTCTGGTAACCCCCCCCCCCCCCACAACGGGTCAAAATTTTGAATATCCATTAGGCTCATAAAACACGAAATTAACATCCGATTGATTCCATGGCTTGGTACATCTTAACATTTATATCAACGCAAGATCTGTTATAAAGGTGGGAGATATCGGACCATTCCTTGTGGTACCTCCCCCACAAAGGGTCAAACGATTATAAAATCCGAAATAAACATGCGGTTATCTTCATATTTCACACATCCCATTATTTTTGCTAATATAAGGTCAGCTGTGAAGATGGGATATATAGGTTTACACCTTCTGGTATCTCCCACACAAAGGGCCAAAATTTTGAATAACCCTGGAGCTCATAAAACTTCACTTTATCTATTGTCTGGAAAATATACGTGAGAAATTTGAAGAATTTAGCTCTGAAGGAAGGATATTAGCTAAAAACAAATAAATTTCTAGTACCTTTTTGTTGGTCCAGAAAACAGGTCTTATCGCCTACTAGTTAAAGGACCTGTTTGTAAAAATTGTTTTACTTTAAAATGCAATCTCAAGAAATTTTTACTAAATAAAATTTTAAATTTGCAACATGATTTATGGTTCACCCTGTAACTGAAAAGCGAAATAGTAAAATAGAAGAAAAAAGAAACACATCAATGCATATTGGCAGGTACTTACATCTAGTTTGGAACGGGTTATTCGGGCATAGGAGCGATCACTTAAATTGTTATCGGTGTCATCTGCGAAGCCGTCAATATCATCTTCCTCCTCATTGTCATCATCGGCATCTTCGTCGTCGCTGTCGTTGTACTCCTCATAGTAATCAGCATCTTCCTGCGGTGTTCGTGTGTGTCGCCCTTGCAAATCATCGTCGTCGTCATAGTCTCGTTTCATTGTCAAATCTTTCGTCTGAGGCTGAAGATGCTTTGTTGGGTGATGGTTCTGGTTCTGGTGCTCCTGATGATGCTGTTGTTGTGGTTTCTGGTAATTGTCTCGCTCCAATGATACGGTTTTATGAGAGCTAAATTTAGACCGTTCCGCAGGACTTGCATCTTCGGCCGCCTTAGAAGACAGCCGTCTTTGATGGCCGCCACCGTCGCCATTTCCATGGCCGGCTGGGTGATTGTGTTTTTGCGTTGTAGCTGATAAGAAATATGACGGCAGTGGTGGTAAAGGTGTTGGTCCTAATCTCTGGGTCGGCGATGAGGCGGCTGACGATGATTGCTGGGGATGTGGATGATGTGGCTGCCCTCGTTGATGATGGGTGTGGTGGTGGTGTTGTTGTTGTTGCTGCTGCGGTTGTTCCAATATGGAATTTGAGAAGGATGACTTGGAGGATGTTGAAGCCGCCGATGTTGGCGATGATAAACTGGACGAGGTTAAAATTAAATGTTGTCCATTACGACTTTGATTTTTGTCCTGTTGCTCCGACGAGTGATGCCGATGGTTGTAGTGTTGGTGGCGGTGATGTCTGGCGGGTTTCGTGGTGCTGGAGCTCCACGAATTGATGCCTTTGAAAAGAAGAAGCTCTTCGTCCTCTCTGTTGGTGATCGCATTATCATCCATCAGGGACAGAGGTGTGTTTGTGGTGGCTTCTCCTTCCTCATCTTCTATTCTAGGTGTGGTATGGTGATAATGGCTGAGCTGTTGCTGCCGTGGATAATGATGACGGTGATGATGACGATGATGATGGCCGGGATGACTGTGATTACTTTGTTGTTCTAGAAGTAGTCCGTGTGTGGGGCGAGGCGTCTGCATTGGGGTTAGACACCACACCAGGATCACAAGCGTGTGAAAGTCAAACATTTTCCTAAGGTGGGGTTGCAGTTTCATATTGTCCGTATTTTTTGGAAGTGTCTGTTGCTGTTGTTGGGTATTGTATTTCCTTTCGGTTTGGATATGTGTTAATTGGTTGTTGTTGTGGTATTTATTTATTTTTTGTTTTACTTTTTTTCTCTTTCCTATGTTGAATAGAGTTTTCTCTGTTGTTTTTTATCGTTTAATATTATTTTCACTTTTTTCACACCTTCACTGGATTTTTTCATTCTTTTCATTCTCACTTTGTTTTCTTGTTAAATCGTAATCTTAAAGATCTTTTCTGTGTGCTGAAAATATAGAATTATGTTTTGGAAAATTCTTAGAAATTCTGCACGCTTATATTTTTTGTTGTTGGTTTGTGGAAGCTCTTTAGGCTCGCATTCTTGCTTTTTCTTCACAAATAATTATTAATATACTTTTTATTATTTTCTTGAAAGCAGATGAAGTGATTCGCACGAAAAAGTGGTGGCGGTGTTGAGTGTTTTATGGCAATTAGCAGTGGCGTTTTTGTTACGTTTTCGCAATGGGATACCAAATGAAAGTGTTATGTGGGTCATGGAATTGGAGAGGGAGAAATTTAACTTCCGGTTGAAAATAAGTGATTACAGATTGATTTTTTAATTGCCCCTTCGTGAAATGTAAAATTACCACGTCACTGCTACCGTTCCTCGATAATATTCTTGTCAATTGAGTTTTAATAATGTCAATTAAACGTTAAATTTATGTTCGAGTAGAAGTGCTTGTATTTTTGTTTTTCTTTTTTTATTTTCGTTTGCCTTAATCGCATTTTTAAATGCGTCCATTTATTAATTACATGGACGTGGTAATGACGTCGTATTTTGCCCGAAAAGTGACTCCGTAACAAGAGACAACATTAGACCACTGCAGTCGGCAGTGACATGGAATATGCAATTGGGACAGTGGGGAAACCATGATATTGTTGTGACACTCTGAATATTTCAAAATTTTCTGTAAAACATATTTTTTTCTTTACTTAAAATTTGATTCTCATACCATTTTTCAAGTTTGTTCTCTAATTAATAAAACTTTTATAAAAAATAAATAGCCACCTCGTTTTATCTCTGCAAGAATATTATAAGAGATATGGCGAAATTTGGGTCATATTTGTACACATTATAATTAATAAATCCTAAACTAGTTGGATTTTCTAATTCCTAACATCAATTTAAACTGCATAGAAAATATAATCCAGCAGAATCATGCCACAAACAAGGCACCCTTCGAAACTCTTTATTGGAAAATATCTTATTGAAATGTCTTATAATAAGCTAAAAAGTAACAGTCGTTTTTGCCGACAGATGTATACCCTCAGCCAATATTCGATTATTTAAAAATATTTGACTTTGTATTATTCAAATTGTTGACCCTCTAAATAAATATGATACAAATATTTCGACGTGCCAGGTTTGGACTACATTGGTTACTTCCTTCATTTTATATGAGATATATTACAATTTTTAGAAAATGTTCAAATGTGCGTGATGCACCAGGTATAGCCGACCAAGGTATTCTATTTTCATACTTAATCTTATACAGGTTAAAATATTGGTATGGGCAAAAATAGAAGAAAATCGATCATTTATACCCAATTTTATGCGAAATCATAAATTCCGTATCAACTCAGGTTTCTGGTTGAGAGATATGTATTTAGGTATAGAAAGTTGTTAAGAATCGCTGAGTTGTTTTGCAAGTTACGACAGATAAAAGTATTGATAATTATGACCCTTTGTGGGTGAGGTACCAGAAGGGGTTATCTTCACAACAGCTCTTGTGTTAGTAAAACTGTTTGTATGGGTGAAATTTCAAGAGATTGAATGCTTATTTCGGATATTATTGTCGGTTTGGTTATTCAAAACTTTGACCTTTTGGGGGGAGAGGTACCAGAAGGAATGGTCCGATCTCTACCATCTTTATAAAAGATTTTTTATAGATAGAAATTTTAATATGTGCCAAGTCTGAATGGAATCGGATGTTAATTTCGCGTTCTATGGGTTTCATGAATACCGATATGCCCATCTCCGAACTCGATCTAAGTTTGATAATAATATTATCATGTACCAAGTTTGGACCAAATCGATACTCCCGAACCAGCCAGCCAGATAGACGGATGTCCTGAAACGGATTTGATTCAAAGAGACCTATGGTCTAAAATCGTTATTTCGATGAGGCACGTTTTGGTCGTATCAAATGATATATTTCCTCTGTAGCCATATGACTGAGGGTATAAAAAGTATGTGTATATAAGACATTTTCAGACATATCTTTGAAATTTGTCTGAGACTTGTAAGGACTCATGCTAAGTAGTATTCATTTCGGAAACTTTGGATTTTGTTTTACTTTGTTTATAAAACGTTATTAACATTCTCGTTGAACAGTCTAAAAGTTCTATAATGATAAGTTAAAATAACCTCAGTTCGTTTTCAGACAGATATATGACCTCATAACTTGACCATTTATTTATATATACATAAAGATTGGACCTATATATCCTATCTTTACACTACACTACTACTATCTATCACTACTATCTTTACACTCTGAAAAAAAGGGAAGAGTATTTTAAGGGAGTTTAACTTATTTAAAATGTTGACCTTTTCTGAGCAATGTATTTTCAATTTTATAGGAGTTATGATTATTCAAAGTTTAACACCTATGTGGGGGTGGTACTTCGTGAAGAATATTTTGATATAAACATTGGTTGAACAAATCAACTTAAAAATCGAATTACAAACTGTCCGGTTAGAAAGTATAAGTAGGGTTTCAGACAGATGTGCATACGTTACTTTTGAAATTTTGAGACATTGTTGTTTTTAAGATTTTTTTGTATATTATTTCTGTCATTTCGGATATATGCTCTCTTAAATTCCCAAATATTCACACAAAGGGCGCTTTTAAGAGCATTTTTAATATGAATCACTCTGTTATCGGACAGCTTGTTTGACAGTTTAATGCGACGTCTCTACTCAGTATTGTTTGGCGAATCATAATGACGAGGTTAATTCCAGAACAACACTTCCAAATTGTGGACATTTATTTTCAAAAACAATGTATACAGCCATTAGGGTATTCGATTTTGGTATTGCATTCCAATTGGTTTTGGTAATATCGTTGCATTGCCAACAACGCCTACAAGGGTAACGACAACGGTTTGCCTAAATCTAAGACCTTTTCGAGAACCTGGTACTTTTGCAAGAATTTTGTAATTTTTACAAAATTGTTATTTATAAATATTTTGAAAGGTTTTTTTTTTAGTACGGGAACGCACATACATTGTTTATTCTGTTTATGTATTTATCATAAGATCCGATGTTACAATGGTCTATATTAGTTTACAGAAGAAAGAAATATATCACATGTAATGGCAACGGGGACCTCAATTCGGTCCCAAATTTGCACTATTATTGTTCAACTAGGATTCAAGGCGAAGATGAACTCTATCGGTATGATGGCGGCACCTATTGACCCACTGTTATTACCATACTATTGAACTACAAACCATTTGCTGTAGACACACTCTGGCCACCACTCTCACGTTAACGATTCGCACAATTCAGATGTCTTCGAGAGATTTTTGTTCACATGGAAATTTAACGCATTTCGTGAATAGTTACGCACTTTTGTCCACCAAATGCAACGGCGAGAAACAAAAATGTCACTGCGGCTATGGTAACACGTCACGACACAACATCTACGATTGAATGCATAGACGGCAGCGACAACAGACGGACGGACGGACAGACAGACAGACCGACAGACATCGATGGCTACGACGACGACGACCCAATTAAAAATTTATAAATTTGCATGTTACACTTGAAATTTTTTCTGTTGTTGTTGTTGCATTTGTTTAGCAGTAACTGATTTTGTTGTTGTTGTTTTTTTTTTGTTTCATTAATCTTTGAATGGTAGCTACTTTTGTTTTTGTAATTATTGCTGTTGTAATTTCACGAATTAACAATAACAACAAACAGCATCAAGCGATAGCTGCCGCCGCTGCTGCTGCTGCTGCCGCCACTAGATGACAGGTGGATCTAATGAATTGCTCAAGTCGAAAGAAGCTTTCTTGTTCTCTGACGGACTGACTGGTTGGCTGGCTGCTCGTTTGCTTGTTTGGCGCGATCGTCGTTTATTTGTTCAACTTTGCTTCCATGATCAGCCGAGCAGCGATGAATTTATTGACTTTTACGTTTTGTGGTGGCAAAAGTGATTTCGGAATTATCTGTAGACAAACAAGAGTTGCGAGCAAACAGACAAGACCCAAAGAGCAGAAAACCCAAATTAATGCACTTTTTGTTTAATTATGTTGTTTTTGTTGTGGTTGTTCGAAGTGATGTTGGAATCGATTTTGGTATTTCATTTCACACTGGGTTTTGGGAATATCGTTGCCTGGCCAACAACGCCTACTACAAGGGTATCGACAATGATTTTCCTAAGCTTTGTTGTTGTAGAAATTAAAAGAATTCACCGCCTTTGCAATGTTGTATTGCACATTATCACTGTTTGTTGTGATGCTGTTGTGTTTTTAATTTACTTTTGTTTTTTGTTTTGTCAAATTGATGATCACGTTTTCAAAATTAATTGCTGCCCATAATCTAGCCGACTCATAGATTGATGTTGGCTGTGGGGGTGTTCGGAGACATTCACAGTTGTTTTACTCAAATTTCTAAAAACATAAAATTTCAGACTTGCTCTTAGCAATGCCTCACAGGTTTACTGACCGATAGATCGACCGACCGACGACCGACTGCAAAGGCGAACGCTTGCAAATGTTATCACTATCAGGTTTATACGACGAATTAATGTTACGAAGTGTTGGTGGTCCTCATCCGGAGGTGTTGTAAAAAAATTATGGCACTTCACTGCCTGGATTATTTTATGATCCTTCTTCATGGAAGTCTATAAAAGATGCATCGAACCGATGGATGTGAATCAACCGCTAAAAAACTTAATGCAAATCTTTACACTCCACAATTTCACACATTTTCGTATTTTTGCTCGTTCAATATTATTGTTGTTCTTCTGAGGTTTTGTTCAAAATCCCCGTTGGTTTGAATTTATATTATAAGTTTGCGTATTTCTTTTCAGTATTTCGCTCTTCGGGGGCGAGCAAACATTTATTTTCTGATAATTTATTGAATTATTAATTTCTCGGTGTCGGTTAACAGAGCGCTGTGGTGTTGTGCACTCGTCCGCAGTTCTCGCGTTTCTGTTCAAAAATGCCACACGATTCAAAGCAACCGCACGATCAACGCCGATCCAGACAATGATGATTTCATTCATTATCGCCTTCAACTTCATGATGAACAGTAACGTCATTATCGTGACGAAGGAGGCACTTTGTGTTTGTTTTGCAGCTGATTTTCGGGCTCTCTGTTTATGTAGTAAACAGAGCGCCGCAAAAAGAGCTCCAATCTCTCAACCAGCAACCATTCATCGGTCTCTGTGTTCTGCTCTCGTGGTGGGGAGTCACTCAACCGGCTTTTTTCATGAATTTCTCAATGAATGAATTTTGAGAAAAATCGTAGCGAGAATCAAATGGGAGCAAGTAAAAAAGCCGGTATCATTTGGAGTTGAGTTAATGTTTCCACTCAAGCAGTCAGCAAGTTCTCTTTTGAGTCTATTTGGATGATATTTGATCGCCAAGTACACAGGCGTACATGGTTTTTGATGGAATCTCCAGTATGTTTGTTTGTGTTTTATTCTCCAGGTCAAAACAATTTTAGTAAAATGTAAGTTTTCAGAAATTATCTAATTGTAGACTCGATATTTGTAAACAAATACCAATTAAAATGATGTAAACTTGTGACCTCTTACTCGCAAGTATTCCCAATGACTAAGTTAATTTTCAGACCAGCTTCCTTGCCAAGCACTCTCCTTGCTGAGCACTCTCCCAGCCAATATGACCTGTTCAGGTAATCGCCAGAATTTATTTCTTTGCGTAAGTTGCGATTATTATTTGCAACAGTTTGCAGCAATGTTGTGAGCGGCGGATAGCCGTCAAGGAAAATAAAATGCGTGGGCTGTTTGTAACAATTTGTTTTACCAGTTTTTACATAACAACTAACTCTTCGCTCTAATCGACATGCTATAAATAAATTATGAAATAATTAGTAAAACAAGCTTAACGCCCACCCACGTCACACGACTTCGGCGAATTATTAGTCCTCAGAATCAAAGGGATTTTTTGGGGAATATAAAGATAATTTGAAGATACATATCTATTAAATTAAATGTTAAAGAGGTATTACTCATCTTATCCCACAGCTCCGATATTTCAATGTTTGGTATTTTGCGAAGAAAAAATCATTGGATTTTTGGACAACATATTGTTCATTTACTCGAAAAGTGGCATAGCTGAAAAAAAGGGTTTTTTGACTTGACCATTTCTATTTTTTTTTCTACGAAAATTATTTTATATTTTTATGAAATTTTCATATTCATATCTGTAGGACTCGATTAGTTAAAATTATACCTATATTTTAAAAATAAAATAAATATCATCAGTCGGTTTTGCAGATAGATGTATACCCTCAGCAAATGTCCGATTATTTACATATGTCTTTATTTCTGTTATAATTATTCAAATTGTTGACCCTCTATGGACTGTGTTCCGAAGGAATGGGCCAATATTGTCAATTTCGTATCGGAACTAAATAAATATGATATAAATATTGTGTCGTGCCAGGTTTGTACAATATACTTCCTTCACTTTATATGAGATATGTGACAATTTTTAGAAATATAATATTAGAAATATTGGTATGGTCAAAATTACAAGAAAATCAAACATTTATGAAAATCATAAACTCCATATTCACCTCGGGCTTCTGGTTGCGAGAAATATTTAGAACTTGCTATGTAAAGAATCGCTGATTTGTTTCGCAAGTTATGACCGATAAAAGTATTGACAATTGTGATGCTTTGTGGGTGAGGTACCAGAAGGGGTTCGCAGGTATATATCACCCTCAAAAGAGATTTTGTGATAGCAAACACGTTTGTTTGTGTGAAATTTGAAAAGAGTTGGATGCTTATTTCGGTTTCTTGGAGCGTTTTGTTTTCCAAAATCTTGAACCCTATGTGGGGTAAGTACCAGAAGAAATTATCTGATCTCTACCATCTTTATAACAGATCTTGTGTTGATGAAATATTGAGATGTACTAAGGCTGATTGGAATTGGATATTAATTTTGCTTTTTATTAGCTTCATGGATAATCAAAATGTTGACCCTTTGTGGAGGAGTTACCAGAAGAGGTGTACCGATATATTCCCTCATAGCATCAGACTTTGGGTTAATAAAAAATATTGAGATTTGTGTACTTAATGAAATCGGTCGATATTTCCCATATTCGCACCTGACATAGTGCTAATGCAAATATAAGGATTTGAAAAGTTGCAGCAAAATCGGATTATATTTTCTAATTATGTGCTATATTATATATATATATCCAGGATTGGACCGATATTGGCCATTTCTGAACTCGATCAAAGATTACGATGTTCCTAGTTTGGACCAAATCCGATACTCCCTTCGAGAGTTATCTAGCGCACCAGCCAGCACACAGGCAGACGGACGGACGACCAACGCTAGATCGACTCCAAATGTTCTGAAACGCATTTGGTCCAAAGAGACCTAATTCCAGTAACCCCAATACCAAAACTTCAAAATTCCAGTTCTATTGATTTACCCAAACAAAGTTGTACCAAATTTAGCACCACTTAGTACAATTCTTACACTTGGCACACATTTTCAAAAACGTCTCCCTACTTCTCAAAACTAAACAAATTTCAAGATAACACCTCACATAATCAAAAATGGTACTAAATGTAGCCAATTTCAGTACTTTTGGTGCACTTGAAGTACTTTTTAGTACATATCCAAAACCATACCTTACGAAAAGTGACCCTGATACCAAAGTTCAGATTTTTATTACTATCTCGTCATCACATACTATTTAACCTTCTTATTTTACCTTTTTTCTCGGAAAAGTTTTCGATACTGTCGATGCTGTTGGGTAATGTAAATCGTTTGTAGAGAAAGACAGGCATTGGTACTTAACTACAAAATGTGGCTTAAATCGTCAAAATACCGACTATCCGAAAACGTGGACCTATATACACCATGCTCTGTCACCGGAACTAGAACCCATTACGAACGAATGCCAATTTTTAGACAAATTCGTGGAAAAACGTGGCTAAAACTATCAAAATACTGAATATCGGGAGATACCTTTACATGAGGGCTTAACCAAAATGTGACCCATGTATCTCATTTTCAATACCAATCGTCCTAGACGCAATAAACACACTTGTACCAAATTTCAAAGCTCTACCTCAAATAATGTGGGCTGGTTCAAATGACACACATGCAGACATATATCGTTAAATCGACTTAGAATTTTTTGCTGATCATGAATGGGGTTTATGACGAATATTTATAGGTGTTACAAACGGAATGATTAATTTAATGCACCCTAATTCCTATGGTGGAGGGCATAACAATCTGAGTCGATCTTCAAGGCGTTATAGATTAAAAAATTCTCCTAATTTTTACATACACTTTCCTTTATACGCCTATAAGTTCATGCATACCGTCAACAACTAAATGTAAAAACCTATTTCTGAGAATCTGCAGAAAAAGATTTATTGCTAATCTTTTCATTTCATTTTTATTTTCCAACAAAGCTTTGCCACCCTGCACGAGCATTTGCAATTTGTAAATGAATAGATGGACGTGTGAACGTGTGTAAATGCAAGTGCGTGAGTGTTTTCATTTTTTTTTGTTTTTGTTTTGGTGAGCGCCTTAGTGCCTCTAATATATACAAATGTGTTAGTATGCATGGGTACTCTTTTGCTTGTCAGATAACGATCAGCAAATCTAGACCGTAGAACCATGTGAAGACACACATACACACGCCCCAAAGATAAACGTGTTTCATTATTTCTCACTGAACTCTTAAAGAATTTCATGCAGAAAATTATTTTGGATTTTTTTTTTCTTCGGATCGGGGTGTGGAAATGATTTTCACAAAACCCATTAATCACGACCCCATCCACAGCCCACCCCACAGTTCCGAGTTATGAGAAATTGCAGTACTTAATCATTTATTTCATAGTTTCGTTTTTGTACTCGGCTGTCATTTTAGAAAAATTATTGGCTGAAAATGGCTAAACTGTCGATAGAGATCTTAACGAATGGAATGACAAGCCATTGGCTGACGATTTTAAGCAGAAAACAGTTCCAAAACATGTGGAAGACACGTTGCGCATATTTACGTTGGACTATTGTGTCTGGAGTATTTTGGAAAGCAATGTTGGTACTAAAAAATGCCAAAGTGTCGATCACCTCAAGCAAGTGCTTCGCCGGGAATGGGTCATAATACCGCAGAGCAACATTCGGGAAGCGTGTGACGGTTTCATTAGCCGTTTAAAGGCCATAATTCGTGCCAAAGGTGACCAATTCGAACAAATCTAAACTGATTCTTAAATTTAATGCTATTTCCGACATTTTTTTGCTTTCATTCAATAAAATTTAAAAAAAAAATGTAAAAATGATGGCGTTTGACTTTATTGCATTTTTTTATCTCACCCTGTAAATATGCGACGCGCCAGGTTTGGACTATATTGGTTACTTACTTCACTTTATATGAGATATGTGATCATTTTAAGAAAATGTTAAAAATGTTTCGTGAGGAAAAC